CGCGCGCTGCCCTGCTCGCCGCACGCTGCCCTGTTCGCCGCGCGCTGCCCTGCTCGCCGCGCGCTGCCCTGCTCGTCGCGCGCTGCTCTGCTCACAGCGCGCTGCGTCGCTCGTGCGCGCTGCTCCAGCCAACCACGTCGCCCGTACGCCCTGCCCTGGCCCGTCGCGTCGCTTGTGCGGGCTGCCCCAGGCTGTCGCGTCGCTCGTGCGCGCTACTCCAGCCCGCCGCGTCGCCCGTACGCCCTGCCCTTGCCCGTCGCGTCGCTCGTGCAGGATGCCGCAGCCCGCCGCGTCGCCCGTACGCCCTGCCCTGCCCTGCGTTGCGCCGCCCCGCGCACGCCCTGCCCTGTGTCGCGCTGCCAGCGCGTGCCCTGCCCTGCCCTGCCCTGCACGCACGCGTGAGCCCTGCCCTGTGCGCCTGCCCTGCTCCGCGCTGTTGCCCTGCACGCGCGCCTCCCCTGCACTGCTCCACGCTGTTGCCCTGCACTCGCGGCTGCCCTACCCTGCTCCGTGCTGTTGCCCTGCACACGCGGCTGCCCTGCCCTGCTCCGCGCTGTTGCCCTGCACGCACGGCTGCCCTGCCCTGCCCGCACGCGTGAGCCCTGCCCCGTGCGCCTGCCCTGCTCCGCGCTGTTACCCTGCACGCGCAACTGCCGCCTTTGTTGCTGCAATACTGCTGCTGATGCTACTGCCCTTGCTACTGCTACCGCTGCTATGGCGACTCCCACAATACTCACATTTGATGCTGAGGGCCACCCGATACAGTTTGAGTCCTGGCTAGAGAATATGCATCAGTACCTCCAGAGTGTCATCCGGGACAACGCTTCCCTGTTCGAGCACACGTAGGGTTCCCTTCCAGCCCCAGAGGCTCCTGCTCAGCCTGCTGCTGATGCTGGGGAGGAGGTGCGGACGCAGTTCCGCACAGCTCACCTTGCCTACAACCGGTGGATAGCGCGAGACGCCGCCGCCACACTTGCAGTCCACCTTCACCTCTCGTCCGACCATAGAGCTAACTTCCCAAGGAGCCAGGTGCCGTCGGCCCATGCTATGTATTCGGCTGTGGTTAGGCGCTATTCCCCTCCCCCCGCCCCTCCTTCCACCCTAGGATGTCTTGTACTGCCTCTTACCTTCCCTGCACTGTCAGACTTCGCCTCTGACGAGGGTGGTGGTAGTGGAGCTGGCGAGAGTGGCGGGGGGCGGGCAGCCGCAGTTAGTCCTCGTGTGTCACTGCTTGTGCGCCTACTAGCACAAGTGCAGTTCCTACGGAGGCGTTGCTCTCGGTCTCTGACTCCTCTGGCTCCACGGAGGGTGGTGACCCTGCTGCTGCCGACTTAGCGACCTGTCGCCGCTCGCCACGCTTGGCGACACCTCCAGGTTTTCCACCTCGGACGTCTTTGCCTCCTCTGCAGCCTGTCGCTGTAGCCTTAGGGGGCCCAGGTATTGTTGGGGGTGGTGGCTCTAGGGGTGGTGGTTCTGGGGGTGCTGGTTCTGGGGGTGTTGACTCTGGGGGTGCTAGGAGTCTTCTTGTTGGTGGACTTGGAGGTACTGATACTGGAGGCGCTGGGTCTGGGGGTGCGTGGCAGTCGCTGCCGCGGCGGCCTATCTTCTTGGAGGAGCCGTTGTCGTCGCTACCTGAGCCGGCGCCCACTTGTACTACTCCTCCACCGCCTGGCCTGTCTCTGCCACTGTTGCCGCCTCACCCCCTTTTGCCTGCTCCTGCTAGCTACTCCCCGTTGCCCCGTCTCTCTGACTAGGCCTCGGGTGACTGTGTCTTGTGCCGTCTCCCCTGCTACCTCTTGTGTTACACAGGAGCCTGTTGTCCTTCCGTTACCTCCTCCGTCATCACTTTCTGCTGTTCCTGGCCCTGTGTCTTCTCTTGCTCGTGCTGCTCGCCCGACTATCCCTTGTTGTCTAGCCGTGCTTCTGACTGCACCTGCTGCTTCGACTGCTGCTGATTCTGCCTTAGTCACTGAGCTCGGTGGCTTTGCCGCTACTAGCTGCCGTGCCTACCTTGCTGGTTTCGTTTCTGTCGCTTCCTGTCCTCCGTCCGTCGGGGGTGGGTTTGCCCTTGGCTGTGAAGTTCTTGAGGATAGGCAGTTCGAGCTGGAGTACCTGCCGTACCATCCTGTGCACTGGCGGGCTGCTAGGGGGGTGCTGCACTACTTGGTCAGACCTGCGAGCAGAACGTAACACTTTGCACTTTATTCTTATGCCATGCGAGTGTTGCAACAACGTTCCCTACTTCGCCTTTCGTATTTGGCCACACGGGCCAACACTGCTTGTCTCTTGATCTTGCCTTGTACTTTGATATATGAACCTGCATGTCTCGGGTTTCTAGGTTGTAATCTTTGTACTGCTTTCTCTAGTATAAAACTGCATGTGAACTGGCCTTGTGGCCCTTTGCTTGTGCTCAGAATGCGTGGTGATCTTGAGATCCACCCTGAGCTTACTTTGCTTTGTTTCTTCTCTTGACTGGTCTTGTGACCGCTTGTTGTGTTTGCTGTGCCCCACTGGAGGTGCTTGTATTGGAGGTACTGGAGCTGCCAGAGCCGGTGGTGCTGCTGGTGCTGGAGGTGTTGGTGGTCCTGGCACTGCTGGTCCCAGAGGTGCTAGTGCTGGAGGTGCTGGAACTGCCGGAGCTGGTGGTACTGCAGGCTCTGGAGCTGCTGGAGACACTGGAGCTGCTGGAGGCTCTGGAGCTACTGGTACTAGTACTGGAGGTGCTAGTGCTAGAGGAGCTGGAGCTGGTGGTACTGCACAGTGGTGTCTGTTCTTCACTCCGCCAGCACCGTCGTTTCAACCACCGCCTGACTCCGTGCTTCGCCAGGTTCTTAGCCTCCCGTCTTCTACTGGCCTCCCGTTACAGCCGGGCTCCTCCTCCACTGCCTGCTCCTTCTCCTTACCCTGAGCAGACAGACTCGCTTACAAAGCGCCTGCTTCTCGTCCTTCCTCGCTTGTTCGCGCTGTTCGCACTGGCCGCCGTGTTCCTCATCTGCGTCCTCCTGTCTCTAGCAGTCACACTATGACACTTTGTCCTTCCTCTGTTCCACAGCGTGTTCCCCTGCCGTCTCCTCCTGCGTCCTCTCTTCCGCACGTCCCAACCAGACCCTGAGTCTGACCTGGTTCGTGCTGCCAGCCCTACTGTCACGCGTCTCCTAGCCACTGTTGTCACTGACCCTTCGTTTGAGTCTACTGCTGCGTCTGCCTTTGTCGCTGAGCTTGTTGACTTTGCTGCTGCTTGTCGTCTCGACTATGCCGCTAGTCTTGTTGCTGAGTCTGAGTCTGACTGTCCTCCGTCCGTCGGAGGTGAGTGTGCTCTTGGCACGGACGTCCTTGAGGACAGGCAGGAGGACTTTGAGTGTCTTGCAGCTGCTGTACCTCATCTCGTGGCCATGCTGCTTGCACCTGAGGGAGACCCGGATGCACTAGACATCCCGACCCCGCGCTCTTACGTAGAGGCGATTTCGGGTCCTTACTCCTCTCAGTGGCAGATAACCATAGACGCTGAGATGGCATCCTGGAAGTCCACATGCACTTACGTCGACGCAGTTCCCCCTCCTAGGGCGAACATAGTCGATGGCATGTGGATTTTCAGGGTGAAACGGCCGCCGGGTTCTCCGCCTGTCTTCAAGGCACGTTACGTTGCACGAGGCTTCAGTCAGTGACAGGGAGTTGACTTCTCCAAGACCTTCTCCCCTACCCCGAAGATGGCCACTATTCGGATGAGGAAGTACGAGCGACCTCCATGACTAAGCCAATGCGGCGCTCAGCAACCCCATTCTGCTGCGGGGAGGCTGGAAGCGTGAACGACTGGAGGATGCCCTCCCCCTGACAAAAGTCCCGCAAGAGGTCGGGAGAGAACTTACGACCTCCGTCAGAGTGCAGACGCATGACAGGAAGGTCAGAGTGGAACCGCTCGCTGAGCTAAAGACGGACAGCGCGGATCCAAGGGATCAGGACATCAGGAACCTCACCCTTGGTGCGCAAGGGGAAGACCGTGGTGTAACGCGTGTAGTCGTCAACAACCAGCAGAAAGTACCGCTCCCCGCCCGCGTCCGTGCCACACGTCCATGTGGAGAGTCTGCAGGGGAGCCTCTGTCGGGGGAAACGAGGAGTGAGGAGCGGCGCGCTGCCGCCCCTCGACGCAGGGAATGCAGGGCGGGGCAGGGGAGTGCAGGAGGCAGGGCAGGGGCCTGGGAAGACCAGAGACAAGGAGGCGGAGTGCATGCCACGGAGGCGCAGCACCGTATTATCTCGGATATCAACACCCGAAGAGTTGTCATCTTATACGGTAATACGGGATAATATGGTATATTATCCCAGATAATACGGCACATATTTCGAAAGCACCGTTGCCTGTAACGCATGTTTTGGCATCGTCGAAGCGCGCTAAACACCCTTCTCCAGCTACACAGCGTGATTGGAGTTCATTTCCCTCCACCCATGTCTCTCATTTCTAGAACGACTCATGCAACTCTCCCACCCCCTGCCCTAACACCGATGGACATCAGTGCCGTCGCTTGAACAGGAGGACAGATAGTTTATTAATAGATAGTACGTATAATGATTGATAGCTAGTACAATGATTGATAGATAGGTAGTATCATAACGCGTACCTTACATTCCTGTGTCGACATTTGTGTCATGTCAATGTCCTTTGTCCCAAGTCGCTAGTTGAAATGAGAACGATGTCAAATGAGACCGTATAAGAAAGCAAGCTTCTAAATCTAGTAAGCAATGCATGTTTTGTCAGTGTAGTTCCATAATTTGTTCAATGATTGCTCATCAATCTGCCAAAATATATACGGTACGATCGTCATGTGAAAGAAGGGGGTCCTCATGCTTTGACCCAAATTTAGCGTTCCACCCCCCGGATACAAGACACACTGAACTCTCCTACAGGAGGGTCCAGTACCGGGAAAACACAGTAAGTTGCAGGAGATGCGCGTGCCCTTGGATTGTGTACATGTGTGGCCTTGGAATTCCTTGAGCAGCTGTGTTCAAGTGCTGCTGCTGGTGCTGCTGGTGCTGCTGGTGCTGCTGCTTTGAAGAATGCTGCAAGTTTTGTTGCTCTCATGCACGTGCCGAGCCGAGAGCAATCGGCTAGCCAAGTTGGACCTGAACTGAGAACTGGCAAGGGTGCAAGGCAAGGGAAAGTGCACAGGAAAAAAGGTGTGGAATGTGCAAGGTGGGTACCCTGAATCATGGAAAACTCCAGACGCTAGAATTCCATTCCCTCCAAAGGCGAACAATCTCCTGAAATCACCACACTCACTCGATCCCAGAAACAGGTCGGTGCGTTAGCAGTGCTCCTAATTCGTCCTTGAACCTTGCCATCTCTGTCTGATCTTCGCGGGGCACGTACAAGAGCTGCATATACGCCTGGAGAGAGAGAGAGAGAGAGAGAGAGAGAGAGAGAGAGAGAGAGAGAGAGAGAGAGAGAGAGAGAGAGAGAGAGACAGAGAGAGAGATGGGCACTTAGCTTGGGTACCATGTCCCTTGGTACCTGCTTCGCCACTCTTGAACCCGCCTTCGAGCTCCCGTAAGGGAAGTATTCGGCATGCGGCAACTGCAGTGGTGTCAATTCTAGCCTTTTTCCAGGCTCTCCTGCGTGTCTGTAAACTTGTCTGTATTGTTGCAAGGACCATTTAAGAGAGAGGCAGGTGAGGATGTGGTGAAAGGCACGCATGGCTAGGGCGACACAGGCTAGCGGCATGACGGCACCAAACGGTGTGGCGCGTTGCTGATCACAGACCTGCATGTCCTGGCGTGCTGATGACTCCGAGGCAGCTTTCAAGGAGAGCAGCGCTGCTAGCTCCCGCTGCTGCTCCCTCTTCGCGTGCGCCAGCACCTGCATCAGACGCGATTCCTCGTCCATGCTCCCCTCCACCTGCTACTCACCTGGAGAGCCACAGAAAAGAAAGGTTATGTTATGCCGAAAGGGGAGCAGCAGTGTACAGACAGAGCCTTTTGCAAGCTTGCTCCGATATCCACACACCTCCACAGTGCTGTCGGCGCCCATGACAGTGCTGTGTTGAACGGTAACGGTGCCTGCGAGCGGCGCTGTGGCTCGTGGTGATGGTTGGGAGGATGAGAGGGTTCCGCCGACGGGCAAGGCTGAGTCGCCTGGCGAGAGATCGTGCATAGACCCTTGAGAATTGGTGTTGCCTGCCGTTTCACCCCCCTCCATCGCACCCTCGCGTTGGAGCTGGATCCCCTCGTTCGTCTGCTCCGCGGCATCTCGTGCCCCTTGGCTCTCGTGCGCCGCCCCACCGGCGGTCTTTGCGATAGCCGTCTCCATGATATGCGGGGATAAAGATTGCGAAGTTTGAGCTGAATAAGCCACGCTATGGCTGTAGGAGCACGATAATGGTTAAGGAGGCGTGAAAATGCCTAAATCGGTAACTTCCGGCTGCTCGAGACTTGCACTGGATGACCATAGGCAGAGGGGATGGCTGCGGTTTGCGAAAGAGGCTTGTGTTTCGAGAATGAAGGTCAAGCGGTCAAAAATAAGAAGCTGATACGCTACCATCTGGTTAACCTGCCCAGCTGTTTGAGAGAGACGAAACTTCGATGTCACAAGCAGCCACCCTGATCGCAGGAGCATGGGAGGAAGGGGAGGAGGGTCAACGATAGTTGACTCTGGTTTGGGTGAGTCGCGCACAACCTGCGCTATTGGGGAGCTTGCGCAAGGGTTGTTGGTGATGTGGTTGTGTTTGACCATTTCAATTCAAAAAGTCTCCCCAATTGTGCGTTCCTTTGAAGGCGATTATCGCCCTTCCGACGGTGCACTGAATTGTGTTACAATCCGCTTCGCTTTCACATTACATACATTTGAAAGAGATAAAAGCTTTGAATTTATAAATGTTTGCGGTAACAAAATAAGGCACAATGATCAGCTTTTCCTGATGACACCATTGCCTGTAAGGTGACTCTTCTAGATTGGCATTTCTGGGCCTCCGCCTATGTACATGGCCACTCTCACGTTTGTAGCTTAAGCCTTCCCAATGTCTGCCTTATCTTCTATAAGCCTTCTTCTGACCATTCTTTCCACCCCCAGTGGAACCCCCTGCCTTGCTCTTCTGGTTGGCTGTGCGGGCATTGCTGGACGCACTAGAGGACTTGAAACCTTGTCCTGCGCTGAACCTGCTAGCAGACGCCTTGCTGCGCTGCTGTGCACCGTGCCAGGGGCCGCCACCAGCAGCGCCACCCATGAAGCCCGCCAGCAGCTCCTCCATGCTCGGCGACCCACCATGCTTCTTGCCACTGCTCGACTTGGATGACGAAAACGCCTTGCCAAATTGTTTTCCCATGCCCCCCATGCCCCCCATGCCACCCATGCCCCCCATGTCTCCCATGCCCCCCATCCCGCCCATCCCCCCCATCCCCCCCATCCCCCCCATCCCCCCCCCATGCCTCCCATGCCGAAGGATGCAAGCAGCTCCTCAATGTTGGGAGCGGAGGAGCCAGAGGAGGCGAACGAGAAGGGGGAAGCACCGGAGGACGAGAAGGAGAAAGATGACGACTTGCCGCTTTTGCCCCCTGCACCACCGCCATTGCCAGAGGAGAAGCGATACGTGTACGCGTTCCCTCCATTGCTCCCTTTTCCTCCTCCCGCCCCCGCGCCTTCACCCCACCCGAAGCCACCGAAGCCTGGCCCGCCCTGCCACTGGTGCTGCCCCCCTGACTTGGCGCGCCCACTGGAGGAGTGCGCGGAGTGCGCGGAGTGCGCGGAGGGTGGCGGGTCGGAGGGGTCCCCCATGAGGTCGTACTGCCTGCGCTTGTCCGGATCCGACAGCACGTCGTACGCTGCAGAGGGGCGCACAACACGGGCACACGGATAGATGTCAGGAGTTAGGCATTAATAAAGGTACGGAAAAAGGAAGGCGCGGACGGCGAAGGCGAGTGTGGGCGCAACGCAAGGACGTGAGGGTGTCGCAAGGACGTGAGGGTGTGGTACCGTGAGAGATTTCCATGAACTTGGTCTTGGCTGCCTTGGAGGGGTTCTTATCAGGGTGGTACTTGAGCGATAGCCTGCACCAGCACACGCGCCACAGATAGATAGCTACGCACCCCCACGAAGGGAGAAAGAAAGAATCGATGAGATTCCACATGCGGGGCGGCAAAAGGAGACGGGCTAGCGATCGACGACGGAGACGGTGGCGACACAAAGCGAGCGAGAATGAGGCGACGAAAGCGGGAGCAAATGAGGGGAAGAGGGGCGAGGCACTGACTTATAGAAGGCCTTGCGGATGTCCTTGTCGCTGGCTGTCCGCTCCACGCCCAGCACCTGGTGGCGGGGGAAGACGAGGAGACGGTGAATCACGAGAGCGCACACAAGCACGAGGCGGGAGACGATAAATTGCGGTAAGGATTGAGCGCGAGAAGAAAGTGCGAGAAATATATAGTATGAGATTCAGGTGCGCCGGAGATCCGCGAGGGCTCGTAGTACCGAGAGAGGCGCGGACGGATGAGCGGCGACTTACGGAATAGAGGTCTTTGGCTGCTGCAGCAGTGGCTATGAGCGCTAACACGCAGACGAGAGCCGCGGAAAGAGCTACACGAAGGTGGAGCCGAAGCTGACCCATGGCTGTAACGGCGATTAATTTCGGTACAAGTGGACGAAATGGAAGACGTTCAAATCTGGTTGGATGGCTGAAAATGGCGTCATTGGTGGAAGCAGGGCTTTATATATCTAGGCTGGGAGGGTGGAGAAGGTTCGAGAAGAATCCAGACCTCTTCAACGTGTTCCTTGGGATTGGTCCCGAAAGTTCATGCATGAATGTTCAGGCTGGTGAATTAATGGTTCAGAGCGGTGAAGCGAGAAGATTGCTTCGAAAGTGCACATCAAATCGTGCTCAACCGTTTGAGACGAAGCAGGTTCATTAAAGAGTTATTTGCTGCACGATTAAGGAATGCGCATAACATTGAACGCCCAGGCATATTCTGAGAGATGTGTCGTGCGAAAATTGCAGACAATTGCGGTCAAGGTATTACCGAATGTCAAGCCTTAGGCCCTATTGATTGGAAGGTTCACTCTGGGTGGGTGAGGTATTGGGGGAGGTGTCACGGTTGTGCCTTCAGCAAATATACGGTATGTTGAAAGAACATTCATTCAGACCCAGCTCCTCGCCCTGGTTTCATGTCCTGGTGGGGATACCAGGTTTTGGTAATGTGGTAGACAGACGGCAAATCCTGGGTGTACTATGTGGGCCGATACGAATGTTGGCCTTATAGATCTCTGCCTTGCAGAAACCAATGAATTGCAACAAGACTGCGAGCGAGATGCAGCTTACATGGGTGAATGAATGCTCAGCCAGTGCTGCAGTGGAGCGTGCCTCCAGAGTGCCATGGTCAGTGCATGCATGCATGCATGTGTGCATGGCTAGTACGCCACGCCCCCAGTGAGCCCCTCGCCGTCATGCACCAAACTCTCTGTGAACCAGTACCCGTCCCAGCTGCCGCCCTTCCTCTGCCGCCACCACACACCGCCCCACGGGCGGGTATGGACAGCAGGGGACACCAAAGTGAGGCCACAGGTGGGGAGTGAACGGGGGGGAAGAGGGAACATAATGTGGGCAGGCATAGTCAGGGGAACATGTACTTCCGGTGAGACAGTTTGAAAGAGCGGAACATCACGTGCATCACTATGCTGCCACGCACAGCCTCACAATCGCTCACCATTGCCACACCTCTCCCTGTCTTCCCCCCAGCACCACTGTGAGCACCCATGCGGGTGTGCAAGGCAGCACGAAAGCAACACCACGATTCTGAGATCCCTCAGAAGTCGCACCAATGCCATCACCACAAACGCGCCACCAACCAGTCTCCCCCGCCGCCTCCCACCTGCCCCCACATACCCCATTCGCTCTCTTCACTCGTGTTCCCTCCCACCCGTGTGTCCCCAGGCACCCCGTGCCCACCTGCTCCAGCGTGAACTCAAACCCTCCAGCTCGCCCGGCCGCACCCCCTCCACCTCCACCCTCTGCTTCATGCGCGCCTGCTCCCCACATGCATGCAGCATGGCGCACACGGTTACGGGCGGGAAGGAGAGGGAGGGGAAGGGCCACAGAGGATCACGGTTGAGAACAAAATGTAAGAAATAAAACAACAGGTGTTTTTCTCTAAATCTCAAAAGCAGAATGCAGAGGGAAATTTGGCAGGTCAGAGAAGCTTGGGGAAGGGCAAATGGATAGAGGATGAGAAGTGGATGGAGGGGTGGGTGGGTACTGGGGAGACGTAGAAGGAGGAGAGGAGGCGGTGGCGCTTGTGGGAGAGCAGCACGCGGTAGTGCGTGTGGTGGAAGAGCCGCCGAAACCTCTCAAACTGCCACGCGGGCCACGGGGGACGGGGAGGGCGTGGGGGATGGGGAACAGTGAAGGGCGTACTTGTGCTTAAAAAAAAAAACACACCAATCTTGACGTTTTACTCCTCTGAATGGAGCATGAGTGAAAATCAGTTAATAAAAGAGAGGGAGAAGGGCAAGGGGTTGCGGGCTAATTTGGCCTCAACATAAATTGAAGCTAATGAGCGATAACTGACGTTTACGATCGCCTTTTCACAATGTCAGGCAGGTCGAGGTGAAAAGAAAAAGAAGAAGAAAAAAAAAAAAAAAAAAAAAAAAGAGAAGAAAAGAAGAAAGGATTCCGTATGTTGATGCCAGCTAAGCCTAAGATAGGTTGGGGGGAGTGGTGTGACATGGGTGCGGGGCAGGGCAGAGATGTCTGGAATGGAGTGGTGTGACGTGGGTGGTGTGACGAGGGTGGTGTGACGTGGGTGGTGTGACGAGGGTGGTGTGACGTGGGTGGTGTGACGAGGGTGGTGTGACGTGGGTGGTGTGACGAGGGTGGTGTGACGTGGGTGGTGTGACGAGGGTGGTGTGACGTGGGTGGTGTGACGAGGGTGGTGTGACGTGGGTGGTGTGACGAGGGTGGTGTGACGTGGGTGGTGTGACGAGGGTGGTGTGACGTGGGTGGTGTGACGAGGGTGGTGTGACGTGGGTGGTGTGACGAGGGTGGTGTGACGTGGGTGGTGTGACGAGGGTGGTGTGACGTGGGTGGTGTGACGAGGGTGGTGTGACGTGGGTGGTGTGACGAGGGTGGTGTGACGTGGGTGGTGTGACGAGGGTGGTGTGACGTGGGTGGTGTGACGAGGGTGGTGTGACGTGGGTGGTGTGACGAGGGTGGTGTGACGTGGGTGGTGTGACGAGGGTGGTGTGACGTGGGTGGTGTGACGAGGGTGGTGTGACGTGGGTGGTGTGACGAGGGTGGTGTGACGTGGGTGGTGTGACGAGGGTGGTGTGACGTGGGTGGTGTGCAGCAATGGGAGGATGGAGGCAGACTGCTGCAGGGCGCATGTGCAGTTTATGCACACAAGGGCAGGCAGTTTATGCAGCACGCTGCCATGCGGGCGCGTGCCCTCACCTGCCCCAGGTCAAAGCGCGGACCAAAGTACCGCGATCGCTCAAATGGGTCGAACCCTGCAAACTGAAAGGAAAGGAAGGGGAGGGGAGGAAGGGTGGGAAGGAGAAGAGAGCGAAGATGCGGGTGGAAGGGAGTTAGAGCACGTTGAAATGAAGTCGTGACGACGAGTTCAGTGAGTGAGGCAGGAGGCAGCATGTACCGTGGCACACCGATGGGCATGCACGTTCACACAACATGCTGCAAGGCATGCGGACTGGCAGCATGGCAGCATTGCAGAATGGCAGCATGTGGCACATACGCGGTACATGACCTCGACGCCATGGTCGGGGTACGGGTCGTCGTTTCTCTGCAGTGCGCACAGCTGCTGCCGCACCGCCTCCTCCGCACTCCACTGCCGACGGTGGGGCACAGAGGGGAGGGAAGGGCGGGGACAGAGGGGCATGGAACTGCACCTCAGAGGGTGCACGTGGGACCTCCTTGCCTTGAGTGCATGCAACACGCTACAGCGTGCATAATGCGCCCACACCCACGCACGTCGGACTCTCGCTGCTGGCAGCGGTAGCAGGTGTGAGTGCGGTGGCAGGCGCGTGAGGCCCTGTGCGCGAGGGCAAAAGCGTCCGCACACCACATGCTGTGCCCGCCCCTCTTCACTCTCCCGCCCACACGCCGCCTGCTCGTGCCCTCGCTGTCGCAGCCATGCGCCATGCTGCTACTAGTAAAACCACCCCATCACACCCCACCTCCCCAGCACGCTTCCCACACAGCCCCAGTACCTCTAGCCTGGGCCCCAGTGGCTTGCGGTCTGTGCCACGTGCCCTGCTCTCCGCGCACGCACTCGCCGCGGGAGCAGCCAAAGTGGGGGACAGGGGAGCGGGAGGGGGGAAGGGCAGGTCAAGGGCGGGCTCGCATGGGCGCGACAGGGAGAAGCGAAGCAGAGCGAGGGGGATGAGCGAGAGGGGGGGAAGGGGGGGCAAGGGAACGGGTTGCTGACCCCATAGGTGGGGTTGCTCCGCGGACCCGCATGGGGGGACAGCTGCTTTGTTGCGGGCAAACAAGGCGGGGTTAATAAAGAGCGCGGAGGTGGTGCGGCGGCTGCACGGCAGGAACGCGCAGTGCGCACCAGGAGGCGGGCAGATAGTCGGGCACGTCCGCGCTGCACTGCACGCCACCACGCGCGTCCCCACGGGCGGCAAACCGCCTCGCTGGGCTGCGAAGGGCGCGGAGAGCGGCGGGAGTGACGCCGAACGCACGACAGTAGCGCGGGACGGCGGGAGTAAGGCGGAGCGACGGAGCGGGCGACGCGCGTGGCGGGATGATGTGCAAATGACGGCGCGGCGTAGTAATGCCGCCGTGGAGCACGGGGACATGCGCCGCAATGGCGGGTGCACCCATGGAAGGGCGTGCGGGACGGTGACACGTGCAGGTGGGTATGCGTGAAGGTCTGGAGGAGCTGCGAAACGATGGTGGGGATGATGGATGGGAAGCGATGGCGGCACACAACCCACTGAGGGCCGAGTTGTAACGCGGATTCAAAAACGCGGAAGTGAAAACAATTGCTGGGCGTATAGAGGCTAGCTAGGCCGAGGCCGCGGAGGTGCGAATGGTTGGGTGCAGGTTCGGGTTTGGGAAAACCGGGAGGCGACGCCGTGGTGGTTCGGACCGAGCCTGAACTCCGGTTGTTGGAATTGTATGCATAGAGTGTGCCTCAGTAAGGAATAACAGAAAAATTCCTTACAGTAACCTCCCTTTTAGAAAGGTTGGTGAATATCCGGAACACCCTGGCGAGCAGGGCCCAAATAATCAGGGTAAAATATCATTTTTTTCCCTGATGGGCGGTCGCATTTTCCTAGTTACCCTTGCAAAAGTAGGTTATCAAAACTTTTACCCTAGAGCAAAAGGCTAAATTTTGCTTTACACTGATAACGATCTCGATTACCCTGGCGGTATCAGGGTTAACTGTAGATTACACTCACACCGAAACCTTTTAGCACGGATTCGCCCACCCTTAGCATGCAAACAAGTTGTACCATGATTGTCGCTCTTGACCACAAGCGCAAAACCGAAAAAATATTGTCGGCAGCATACTTGAGCGTCCTATTGGTTGTTTGAACCATAGTTTCGCCAACTCACCCCAAAATCGTGCCACGCCACGCCACGCAACTGCCAGCCGAGCCAAGTAGCATGCGAAATCTGTTTCGTGCTGTCCTATGAATCACATTGCAGTCATTGTTGTGCTGCAATAACAGCCATGCATTTCCCGCGGTGCGGGAAAATCGGTCTATACGCCACAGCAAAATGGGGCAGCGGAGCGGCTAAACCGGACCCTCATTGACCTTGCCCGAGCCATGCTTGCTCATTTGCAGCTGGACCATACTTGGTGGGGGGCAGCAGTGCAATATGCCAACTGGGTCAAGAACCGGATGGGCAGCAAGGGGCTAGAGGAAGGTGCCCGTGAAGCCAGGAGGAGGGGGAAATGCGTCGACGTAAGTGTCTGTGGATCTCCAAAACGCCAACTATGACTCCATGGCCGCCATCCAATGAGAGGCCCACGGCCCTGACACTGCCTCGCGGTACGTGCGGAGAGCCGGTATGTCAAGGGCGTCGGGGTCTCCCTCAGGGGAAAGCAGCATGGCACAGAGAAGACGAAGCGGCTGCCAAGAACTCTAGCTCAAACTGCCTGTCCTCTAGGACGTCACAGCCAAGGGCAAACTCACCCCCGGTGGACAAAGGACGGGGAGGAGCAGCCACCACGCGGGTGGCGTAGTCAAGGCGGCGGGTGGCGGCAAAGTCAGTGACCGCAGCAGTAAGAGCCGAGACAGACGACGGAGAGGCACGATGGTCCGTGACAAGAGAGGCGAGAATACGTGTGACAACAGGGCGAGCAGCACGGTAGTAGTCAGAGATAGGGGTAGAGGTGGAGGCTGTAAGAGACGACTCAGGAGGCGACGGGAGAAGAGGCATAGTGGGAGAACGTCGAGGACTAGAACGAAACAAGACAGTGCGGAGGTCATACGAGGGAGACGAGGGACGAGCACGCGGAGGACAACGAGTGGTCCAGTTGTGTGAGACAACAGGAGGAGGCGACGCTGACCGAGGGGGTGAGAAAACAGCCGGATTCGAGTCCGGAGGAGGAAACGTAGGACCGTACGCGGTAGGAGACTGTGAGCGGACAGGAGGAGAGGAAGGAAGGCCAAGGGCCCGAAGGCCACTCCCAGGTGAAAACAGCTGCTGAAAAAGTGGCGGCTCCTGCTGCTGCTGCTGCTGCTGCCCCTGCTGCTGCTGCTGCTGCTGCTGCCCTTGCTGCTGCTTCTGCTGCTCCTGTAAGTCCAACTGCTGCAGCTCCCGCCTCTCCCGTTCCAACCGCTCCTGATCCTGACGCTCACGGCGGCGAGCCGCCTGGAGACGCGTGTCGTGGCGGTGGGGAGGCGGAGTAGTAGTGCATCCAGCGCCAGTCTCCTCAGAACTAGCACCGCCAGCTCCAGCATCCCCAGAACTAGCACCTCCAAAGCCAGCACCTCCTGCTCCAGGACCCCCAGAACTAGGACCTCCAGCGTCAGCACCTCCAGCTCTAGCACCCCTAGAACTGACACCTGTAGCGCCAGCACCTCCAGCTCCAGCACCCCCTAAACTAGCACCTCCAGTGCCAGCACCTCCAGCTCCAGCACCCCCAGAACTAGCACCTCTAGTGCCAGCACCTCCAGTTCCAGCACCCCTAGAACTAGCACCTCCAATGCCAGCACCTCCAGCTCAAGCACCCCCCAAAGAAGCACCCCCAGACCGAGCACCTCCAGTGGCAGCACCTCCAGCTCCAGCACAGCAGAAGTCCACAGTAACCTGTCGAGGACGTGCCAACGGCTGCTGAGGGGACTGTGAGGATGACTGCGGAGAGGGAGAGGCTACCTGACGTGCGACGGAGGGTAGAGGGGTAGCGTGAGACACACCTGACGGGGCAGGACCAAGGGGGGCCGGGGGTACCGGAGGAGCGGGAGGAGGAGGAGGGGAGGGTGCTAGGAAAAGATAAGGAGGGGGGACCGGGAGACTTCGACATGGGTACCGGATGTAATAGGACACGGACTCGTCAAACCGGACGTCATGGGAGTCTAGGAAACGGTGGAGGGGCGGGTGGTAAAAAGTGTAGTCGGAGGAGTCCACCGGGAAACCAAGGAAGACACAGGGGATGGCGCGAGCCGAGAGCTTGTCCGCAGAGGTGTCGCGGACAAGCGCAAGGCAGCCCCAGACACGAAAGACCGACCCAACACTAGGGGACCCTGTCCAAAGACTGGTCGGTGAAGCCCCCGGCGAGACACGCGGCTGGAGGTTCAACTGGTGGGCTGCGTAACGAACAGCGAAGGGCCACAGAAAATGGGGCGCACGGGAATGGATCATGGAGGTGCGGGCAATCTCCATGACCAAGCCAATGCGGCGCTCAGCAACCCCATTCTGCTGTGGGGACTCTGGCAACGTCCAGGACTGCACGATGCCCTGTTCGCCGCAGAATACGGCAAGCACGTCGGAGCGAAACTCACCCCCATAGTCGGAGTGGAGACAGCGAACTCGACTGCCACGGGTGTCCACGGTGGTCAAAAGCCACCGGATCAGCGTAGAAGTCACCTCGGACTTCTTCGCGAGAGGAAACACCGTGGTGTACCTGGAGTAGTCATCGACAACCACCAGAAAGTAGCGCTCCCGCTCAGGTCCCTGCTGAGCGGCAGGTCCCCAAACGTCCAGGTGGAGGGTCTGGAAGGGAGCAATGGTCGGACGAAGGGAGGAGGAGTGCGGAGTGGCACGCAGGCGGCCGGCGACGCAAGGAGTGCACGGTGGGGCAGGCGAGGGAGGGAGCGATGGAAAGACGCGCAGGAGACCTGAGACAAGACGCTGGCTTGACATGATGCAGAGGCGCGGGATGGACGGGTGGCCAAGGCGATGGTGCCACAAGACTGTCGGGTGAGAGAGTGAATGGCAAGAGCAAGACGCAGCAACCAGACCGGACACAACAACCTGTGGGGATGCAGGAACCTGACCAGACTCGGCGACCTGAAGGGAGGCAATAACCTGATTGGACTCTGCTACCTGGTGGGACGCAGTGTGCAGAACGAAGAGACCTGAGTGGGGCTCCCTGGTGAACGTGGCAAGAAGTGCCCCGGTGGAAGCGTCCGTACAGATCGCCGTCCTCCCGTGCGCCGGAAAAGTAATTGTGATCCCACGGTCCTGAAGGTATCCAACACCGAAAAAGTTCCGAGAGAACGAGGGGATGTAGAGACAAATGAGGAAACCAGGAGGGACAGCCGGGCACGGGAGAGTGGTCGAGCTGCGAGCGACTGCTGGTCCTGAAGTAGGATCAGCCAGAGCAACTGGGACCGGTGCCGAAAGAGGTGTGACAGTGTTGTGGTTGCGGAAGAAACACTGAGGCGCGCCTGAGTCCAACGTGAAGGAGAGCGACGCAACAGCAGTCGTCACGTGTGGACTAGTGACTACGCAAGCACCTACACTAAAAGCACAAGTACCTACACTAGCAACAGGCAGAGGTCCTAAGCGAGGTACATGCAAGCCAAGAGATCCATACGTGACAGAATAGACAGCATCCATAGACATATCGAACACATGGTAACCACTACGAGATAGACCGGGCCAGATCGGTGGCCTCGACTCAGACCCAAAACGCTCACGGTAGAGGTCGTCGAGGCGGCTGTAGCAGCGTTGTGCAG